AACACACGGGGTACAATGCATATCGCGGTAAACGACAAATATACACGCAACCGTGCATCGCGCAAACCACAATATAACTATTGTGGACGGCCGGAACAAAACGGAACTCAGCGGTGTCTTATTTAATTTTCGACAGCAGCGAAAGCGGTCCTTTGTGCCGCACACAGAATTATTCCCGGCGGGGCGAAGCCCGCCGCGCGGAAATTAATTAATTCCACGGAGCACTTTGACGGGAGGAGGGTATACATATATGCGACGTACACCACGATGTTTATGGCGATGCTGGGCGAACGAGAGCGAGATTGTCGCGGACTGTATGGTAAAGTTGACGGAAATTCATCGCTCTGGGAGACCGCGACGATTGTACTCTCGTTTACCGTTGCCGTCCATTGCGAGATGTCCGCCGCGGAAATGCGAACATGTAATTCCGTATCACGTAACGCAAACAGACGGTCGCTTGTTAGCGAGAGATATACCGGCGCTGGTTGCGACGCGCGTCCCGTCCCATCCCGTTAAATAGGACTGACAACGCGACCGAGTAATTAAGGTCTCTGGCCTGCACTCCTGGCGTTCTCCTGGAACTGGAAAGTGAAGCGAAATACCGACGACAACGCCGGCGTTATCGTGACGAACGAGATCTTTGAGAAACTTTTCTGAGGAGTGGAGGAGCGAACGCGAAACTTTCGCGGAAGCGCGTCTGAGAACTTCGTGCGTCTGGCGCAGCGGAACGAAGTTAAAATCGATAAGGATTAGATAAAGCAGAAACTCGGTGTACGAGACAACAATGCAAAATATCAAAACGGGATCTTTGACGCTTCGCGACGTAGCTTTCGGAAATTTCATTTAAGTTACTCTTGTTCTCAATCTTACCAAGTTAGAGATTCCTCTTCAGACCGATATTAAATTACGGCATTTAATTTTTAATAGTTAGATAATAATTGGTCCATTTGCAGTACGCCGTTATAAATCATGACAAATCCGATTTTGTCCGGATTATTCAGGTTAAAATAATATCCGCGGCGTATCTTTCTATTTCTGTCGACGATCGTAAAGACGATAGAAATTAAACTTGATCGCAAAATAGCTCCGATCCGTGATTATAATTTTAAGGTAATAAAGTATCTTTGTACGAACCTCTAACACAACCAAGTTAATTTAATAAGTAATATATAGACGGTAATCTTTCTCTATATATCAATAAGTTCGAATATTAAGATTCACGTAGCGTATGTAAGAAAACTCGCGCCGTTTTCCATTTTATGACTTGCCGGAACCTACATTCCCCGTCGCTCACGCTCGAGGAAGAGAATGAATGTTCATCCATCCATGGTCTCTGACGTTTCACCGCGTCACCTCTCTTTATCGCGCGTAAAATCGAGCGTTCGTCGCGAAAGAATGGCTACTGCCGCTCCTCGTCTCAATCGGATTGACTCACGTCGATCTAGGCAATTACAATGGCCTTTCGCGAATGCCCACGTATGCACAATGAATCTGTAAGAGACAGAGAAATGGAGAGAGTTTGTCCTCGACCAAGTAGCCTCCTACCTGTGCATCACACCATTTCACTGTTAAATATCAAAGAAGCAATAGTAATCATCCAATCCCTTGAATTAAATAATATTTTGTTAGTTTTAACTTTCACGTATGTCGAAATGTAAATCAATCCATTTCTGTAATTAGTTTCAAAGTAAATATCGTTCATATTAAAAATGTATGTATTTAACAAATAATAAACTAAATTTGAATCAAATTTGAGTTAATTTAATATATTTTCTTGAGTTAAATTTAACTCTATTGTTTTAGTCAAATTAACGATATATTGGGTAGAAGTAATGGCGATCTATAAGAATGATTAAAAATAACTCAAATTGTGTGAGTATAATTGACGTTATGAATTTAACAGTTTTTTTTGTTTTGGTTGGTTCTCGATCGAGGTTGGTTCTCAATATTTTCTCCAGCCTTAATATTGTAAGTATATATTAAATTATTATAATATAATATAAATAAAGGCAATGCGTAATATCTCGTGTTTACATAATTTTCCTTGAATTGCAGAACAAATTGTAATACAGGAAGTAATTTTTTAGTCTCTGACGAGGTCTAACGCGGAAGGAAAGCCGCAAATGAGCGCGTTAGCGAGATATCTCGGGTGTGGTACATAAAGGATTAAATTACTGACGATTTGTAATTCACGACCTCTACAAGAGAAAAAGAACGACGATTATATGCGGCGGAAAATGCACACGTGAATGTACATATGTACATTACAGGCACGACAGAGAAAAGCAGAAGTAGAGAAAGGGTATAGACCGTGAACGTGGGACGAGCGTTGGAGGCACGAAACAATGTAACAAGCGCGAGATTACCACAAGAATAGCGCGCTCTGATATCGAATTAATTACTTGTTACTTATATTACCAGGATTTCCGGTTTACTTTATCAGGCGGGGGAGTGACTTCGCAAACGCCGAAGCTGCAGACTCTCTAACGAGGCACGATACATTTCCACTCCACTATTTTCATTAACGTATTAATGTTTATCGCTAATTAAATCAAAGAAAAATATATATATCGTGCACTTTCATAGAACGATCTGATTAAACGGAGAATCCCCCATGTCGCACGCATTTCCCTTATTTTACGCCAGGATAAATAAAACGCTACTTATGATTTTATTGCTGGCCCGCCGCGCGGCTTGATTAAAGTACTAAAAATGTATTACCATACCTGGAAGTGCCTTAATTAAAACAAAATGTCGCTTAATCCCTCGAATCCTTTCACGTTTCTTCTCGTTGTCGACTCTTATTTGAGCTCTTAGATAAAACCGAGAAAAAGCTCTCTTGAAACAGACTCACAATTAGGACAATGTAAGGAGTTACTTTATCTTCAATTTTGAGATAATATTTAGTAAAAATTTTATTCTATTTATGATAATAAATTTTTTAACGAATGAACAAATAAAGAACAGAACTCTTCGTGGAAATTCAAGTGGAACTTAATTTATTGCATCAAAACATCTCTTTAGTATTTTATTCATGTTTTTTAAAGGATTTTTAATTTAAAGAATTAAATGGTTGTAAAAAATATATCATTAAAATTATTAAAAATGATGAAAAAATCTACTATTAAATTAAACGAGAATGAAAATCCAACACGTATGTTTCTTTCTCGTTTTAATGTTCATTTACGATGTGTCATTGTTCGCTATTTGATTAGCAAACTATTTTTCAAATGGAAAAATGGATTTCCTATACAACGCCTCAGAAATGAAATGGAATGAAATGAAAAACAGTCGAATCAAACCTGCAATCAACTGTGAATTCAACGCGGAAAATAAATTCGTTGAAATCTAATTACTCCGAATATTTTATGCGAGGGAATTTTATTCGAACGTGAAATTAAAAACACACTGGCAAAATTTGAGCTAGTTTTTAATTCAAACGTTGAAGTGTTTGAGGATATTTAACAGAGAATATAGGTACCTTTTTATTCCTTAATTTTTGCAAAGATTTGTATGAATGTATGTACGTCGCAATATAGCTTGAAATATATCGTGTTCATACGATCTCTTTCGTAAAGCTCGTTGACCGAGAATAAATAGATCAAAACGAAACTTTCAACTCATAAATGCGGAATTTGAACCTCTTCTAACCGCGAACAAAAGAAAACTACGTCGCGGTTTCCGATTTCACTATCGGCAGAAAAATCCGAGAATACAGTTGGCGTAGAAAATATTTGACTTTGTAAAATTAATTACAATCTGAGCCATGATATAATTATCGTTACAAGCGGAAAAACGCTGTTCGATTCGACACAATGACTTGCGAACGCATTAAGTGCAACGCCGTTATTATGTTTTCTATGCCAGCAATCAGTGTAATTGAAAAAGTGAAGAAGAAAAATGGCTTTCTATCTCAAACGTGTTTAACATTCCTATTTCAATAAAAAATTGCAGTAAAAGAATTTGTAATTTTTAACATTACATATTTCACGACAGTTAATTTATGAAACAAAATCTTTATTTAATACAAAGTTTATTAAATAAACTAAAATGTATAAAGTTTCTCTACCCATTTACACGTAAAAACTTAATTAGTCAAACTCAAATTTCCAAAGTTAAGTTGCTCTCCAACTACTAAATGTTTAAACAAGAGTTACTGTTCTTAATTTAGATGTACACATATACGCTGCACAGAGTAATGTTCGCGATAATCTATATAGCATTCGACAAACGACATGGTGTTGACAGAGCAGGACCAGAGTTGACTACAGGTAGTGATCGACGATTCCGACGAGTCGTCGATGCGAAGAGGATGGCAGTCGCGCGTCGTCGCCTGGCACTGTGTGCATAATGTGCATATGCGAGTTCGCAGCTGCAGTTTAAGTGGGCGACGATGTACTCGTTAATGACATAATGACTTATGATCGCGCCCCGCCAGAGGATATAAGGGAGATTCGCTCGTCCGTTTTGTCTCGATAACTGTTATCGAATACAAAAGACACCTATTAGACGGCCACGCGTGATTCCCGAAGGGACCAGACCTGCCCTTCCATAGGCACCCTATCCCATTCTGTCTGCAATGCTCGGCGATGGAGAAGATACAATGAATCGCGTGGGCTATAGAATTTACCGCGCCCCGGGTTGCCAAGCCATCTGCGAATTGAACGTAGAAAACGATGATTGTAAATTGAGTTATCACGGCTGCTCTTTGAAGTTTGAAAAGCCAATTGTTTTGCAAATAACATTTGTCTTTATATTAAAATTTTCAATTTATGTTTAATAGTTGTATATAACAGTAAAATTGTTGAATGAAATTATAAATTAATATAATTTTGGATTATAAATTAATATAATTATAAATTAACATATAGACATATAATATATTCGTAATGTCTAAATTAATTATAAGTCTGATTAAATATAAGTAAGTACGTAAATAATTTTCCAATTTTTCAATTCTTTTTAACTAAAAAAAAAATTACAAAATCGTCGAATTATTTTTTATGTTTTACTCATCTTTACTAATAATTCATAAAGAGAAATGAGAGAGAATTTGTGAAACAAGACTACAGTAAAATTTTCATATTTCGCCTCGCGTCGCATCAATCGTTCAGGGTTTACTCTCTGCTTTTCGTTATCTGTCTCTCCTCAACTTACAAAAAGCGATTTCAATAAATAATCTCTCTTGCGCGCCCGGGGCCGAATAATTATTTTCGTACGTCCGTTCGAAGGTCGACCGCCTTGAAACTCGCAAGAGATAGCAATAGAATGCAACGCAGAACACGTTTCAATGTGCAAAAACAAACGAAGCGATTTACAAGAAAGTATTGCACTGAATTCCAAATGTAATATCGGCATGTAATGCAATTAAAAGATTTATTTACATAACAATAACAATTTCTGTTAAAATGATCTGATTCTGTTAAATGAGATCAGATCATTGGAATCACATTCTAATATAATATAATACATTGAAATATATGTAATATTTAAGAAATCGAAACAATATGTTTTATTTTAAATTCAACAATCATTGCAAAAATTCATAGGATTTAGAGAGCATTATTATTATTATTAATATCAACGAAGATATTTCTGTACTGGAGAGGAGCGAAATCCCAGGAATCAAAACATCTGGACCAAGTATCGACCCGTGAACATCTCCTAAGCGACGTTTCCGAGTTCGTTAGCCCGCGCTAATGATCCATCGCTCACGCCGCAAGCGCTGCTACTGATATATCCGTCGGACCAAGACCCGGATGTACGGGAATAGCGCGAAATTCTGCGCGCACGCGTGTCTGAGTGCGTTGAAGGAGGCGCGATGGCAACAAAAGCACGAGCTAGTGCACTCTTCGAGGGACAAGGGAGGGAAGAGAAAGAGGGATGCGAAGCGCAGACGGTGAGACTTGGCGCTCGGCCAGGCAGAACGGAGCCAATCTCACTTTCGATTCCGTTGCACCACGCATGGCGGGATGGCCACCTGTGCAAATTGGACCGCACGATTGTGAGCTATATCGCACCAGGACATCGATTTTCCGAGACTGGCATGGGAATCCAAACTCACCGGGTTATATAGTGACGACTTCGAGGGAGAGAGAGAGAGAGAGAATAACTACAATGAAATGAGCTATCGAAAGTTAAACCGAAACTTACTCACTTTTGTGTTTGAAAACGAGCATTTCTTAAAAATATCAAATTAATTTAAAAGAATTTTTTTAGCGAACAGATCTGTCTGTATACGTCTGACAATGACTAAAAATAAATAAACGAGTGGATAGTCATTTTCATATTATTTAGAATTTTTTTAATAATAATTTTTTAATAATAAACTATGATAACACTAACTTAATAGAGAAAACAAGAATTTAAATAAAATAATATAAAAATATTATTTAAAATATTATTTTTTATTTTTTATTATGAAATATAATTTACTAAATTCCTCTCGCTAATTTGATTTTTCTATTTAATCGAGTTGAAACTATTTAACTTCTTTATTTTATTATTATTGTAAAAGCTATGTCTTTTAAAAATAGAAGATAAGTATAACAGCATGAATGTCTGGCGAACTTAAAACACACACACACACACACACACATACACATCTTCACTATAAACAGTCCAGCTCTTTAAAAATAGACGATGGTCTCTATTTTTAAATACACGCACTTAGTAACATCCAGCAGAAAGGCATCTTAAGTTACTTGGCTTGGCACTCTTCCATGTTGCCGTTTTATGCTGACGAATGGCTTTACGATTTTCAGAAATTTCAAAGGAATTACATGATTATAAATATATTGTATAGGATAAAAAAAAGTGGTAAATTTATCTTAAAAGGAGATAAAGTTTGAAGACCTTGAGAATGACGAGATAGCTCGAGATCTCGCGATTCAAGGTAATGCGGTACCTGTCCAGCAGGCACCACCTGCTGGCGGTACCACCATGCGTTCCTCCGTCAGGTTGCACCTGCATGTTTGCGCACCCTTATTCGATTCACGCAGACGGGCGTGCATGCACGCTGGAATTCAGCGACGGACAGCTGCGACGAGAGACCAGCCTTCGGCTTTTTCGCTTCATTATGCAACCAGCGAGGTAGTAGAAAGGGGAACGAACGGTGCGCTCGACCGGTAGATACCATTTAAACCGATTGTCCTATGAGAATGGGTGCGTGAGTTTAATGTTTAGAAACATAGACGTTTTTACGGCACTGTATTTTGGCTATAGCAAATGTTAAAGAAAACTTCAAATGTCAATAATAAGAATTAAAAATTCTATATAAATATTCTAAACGTATATTATAAAATTAATAGATAATACGTTTAAGGGGATCCTAAACCAACAGGAAATACCCACAATTGCAGATCGCCAAATTTTCCGAATTGGCTGTATAGATCACCAAATCCTTTTACACAATAAAAGTATGCACCAAAAAAGTACCAGTTAACTAAATTTGACGAGAAAATCGGAGAAGAAATTAAAAATTCACTTTATTTCAGCTTACCTTAGATTATAATTCCCTTAGTGCAGGAATTCTGTACATCGTACGTATCAAGTGATACGTACTTTCCCCGAAAGCGTATGACGCACACAAACAATCCTGAGCTTGCGAAATTGTGATCGAAGACCAAACAAAAAAGATTTTCCAAATTTTCGCCTCACGCGTTTGATTCAGATAAACAACGGCAAATAGCACAAAAATTGTGTATCAAGTATGTGACAGGTACTGCGAGAGATGGCGCCGGAATATGTTATATAAGGACAGACGTATGCGTTTGAGTGAGACAGAACGATATATAATATAATGTAAGAAATGAATCAAAAAGATGTCACTATTATCGAATTTAGAATTAAAAAAGTCTGCACTATCGATTTTGATCAAGTTCGGCCTTTGATTTAGAATCCCCTTAAAATATTAAAAATATAAAGGAGATAAGAAATTAATTTACAAATAGTAGAAAATATTTATCATTACACCATATTAAAATATGTTCTTATTTATATTATTCATTACTCACGTAATTTTATTATAATATTTGTTATTTGAGGTTATATCAAGGAAACCATTCTGGCTTCTAAAAGGCAAACTTATTCTCAATAAGAATTTTAAAATTACGAAAAAACCTTTTATAAGATCATTTCGTTGATTTTATTTTAGTCTAAAAGATTGACACATATATCCAATGACCAATATTAAAATTTTGAATCATATCGAAACGATTTACTGCCGTTCAATGTTCGTATAACAAGTTCGTATTTCCTATGTCGATCAGGATATTTTTGTGGACCGAAAGCCCAAACGAAATGCTTTCCGACGAAAAAGTGTTCCTTTTTTAAGGGGAATGAGTGCGTAATTGAATTGTTCTTCGCGTACCTTATATTTTTCCAGTCGGTTCTTTTCAACGAGAATCGATTTTTCCCCACGGAGACGGATTTCTCGCTCATTCGTCTTCTAAGTCGTAACGTCACTTAAATAAGAGAGGAGGATTACAAGGCCGTCGAGGAAGAAAAAGACTGCCCGAAAACAACTGAATGCTCATCCTTTTTTTCTCTCGTTTATTTCGTTTTTTCGCATTTTCTTTCTTTCGACGAGTGCTTTATTACCGCACTGGGAGAAGAGTGATATTTAATCCGAATATGAGTGTCTTCTCTCATCTCACGCTCGTGTCTGAAGGATAAAAAATGTACTAATAGAATAAAAGAACGACGACAATTCTTGCGAGAGTAATTTTTTTAGAAGAGAGGAAAAAGTCTTATCTTTTTGTACGCGAAGTACTTGATATTTCACGATAGAAATAAATAAATTATGTTAATATTCCCGAAAAAAAACATTCATTTTAATCGCTTACAATTCCAAAATTATCTTTAAAAAATTGCTTCAGCATGTTAACAAAGAAATATTAAATCTGTGAATCTTATATATGTATATATTTATATATAAATTAAATTCATACATATAAATTTATATATAAATCTAAATTATACATCGACGTTGACTTGTCTTCGAATAACAATGCTTTCCACGAGAATGCTTTCTACAAGAACAACTCAGAACTTCAAATGAAGACCGCTCTTATAAATCGCAATTAACAAATCTTTCTGGGTTAGTTCAGACAGGTCTTTTGTGAAGGCTCTCTGGCGAAGAGCAACAGCGGGGAGAGAACTTAACGAGAAAAGTCATCGGAACTGTTCGTGCGGCATCGAAAAAGCTTCGCAACGCCGTCGGGCACGTGCAGTCTTTACAGGAGTTCGAGTTGCTAATGCACAAACTTTCACCAAAGTACGCGGAAGGCGAGGGCGCGAAGGAGAAAATAAACCGTAGTAAGTACGTGCAGCATTCCTCGAGGACGTCCTCCGCGAATGAAAGAAAACAAGGGAGCCGAGACAGTTGAACGTCCGAAACGAAGACAACGAAGATGAGAGAGAAGAAGAAGGAGAAATATTTTAAAGAATCGATAAGAAAGTTCACGATGTCGCGTACATCTCGTCCGTACATTTCGAAACGAGAAGAGTACGCTCGACTGAACTCCAGAGTGCGAAGAATATAGACAAAGCGGGTTAGGTTCGAGTCCGGTAAATCTTTACCGAAAAATCCTTGTTTTTCCTTCCTGCAGACAGCTACATCCGCAAGATCGAAAAGTTGTGACCTCCGGTATTCCGGGAGCAAAGGTCCTGAAACATCGAATAGACCTTTCGTATCGAACGAGGAGATGCATTCGTGGCAATGTCAACGACCTGTATTCTCATATTTCTCGCTTATATCCTGATGTATTCTTTCCATATAAAACTTATGTATATAGAGATATTATTAAATAAGAGAATTTCTATATTCGGCCAAAGCGGATCTTAGTGCTTAAATATTTCTGTGTGAATTTGTCGAGAAGTCAACCACCTCGTGTATTACCACCTATTGCACACAATATTGCCAAGTCTGCTGCAACCAATTAAAAATGCTATGCTATATTTTACCATTTGATTTGCTGCAGCAGCCAATCTTTTCTTTCAGTATAGTGTATTGTTAGTATTGCAGGTTTTTCAAGAAGAGCTATTTCAAGAAGAAAGATTTCGGCGCGCAGTTTGCAGAATCAAATATGTATACAAATTCCGAGGTCAACCACCTCATGTATTACTGCTTATCGCGTACAATATTGTCAAGTATTGCTAATACATTACAAACTGCGCGCCGAAATCTTTCTTCTTGAAATACAACCATGAGCAGAATCAGAGCAGTTACATAATTTATTAAATTGACAAATAATTTGTAATAATTTCTTATGCTAAGCATCTTTATAAGAATATTAATAATCAGATGTTAATAAAAATCGTAAATTTGCGGATAATTTTATTGCAAAAAATGTTGCTTCAGCTAGGGTTTGAACTTGGAACTCTCGACTTTCCGGGACGGACGTCATACCAATTCAACCATCGAGTATATCACGTATATTATAAAATAAAAAGTAAGTTTAGCTGAAGAGATTATTGACGTGTCTAGTCGGATACGCAGGTCGAAGACACAACACGACGACATAGAAGATACTTTAAAGTTACGGAATACTATCACACTAACATAAGATATTCGTAGTTTCTATGGGAACAACATTAACGTCATCAATATTCTCGACATGAGGGTCCCATGATGGTAGGTACGCCGCGAAAACATCTTTGCGGTAGTGAAACTCGGAAGCGAACGCTTACGGAAAAAGGAATCTTTACGATCTTTTAAAAGAAAAGCCTTGTCGAGAGACCGGCGATTGCGCGATAGATCGTAAAGTTTGGAGACGCGATATTTCTTACATTCCCCAAACATAGAAAAAGATAGGTACTCTGCGGTAGGTAATCCGTTTCATCCGAACTTAAATTTTATACGTAAACTGCGACGGGCGCCTTACGATTTTCATTGAACGTTTCAGTAATGTGAATCTTTGAAAGTACACGTAATAAAAACTACAATTGTAAAAATTCATATTTGCGTTTCTCTCGTAATATTTCGAGTTTTGTGAAAAGACTTTTACTTCGAACTGTCCAAACACATAATATTTTCCAATGCGAAATTTTATATCCTGTTATTTGCCCTCTAAAATGAAATATTTTAATAAAATCAGAAATCCTATAAATAAAGATTTTTAGTGGTCAATAAAAAAAGTATACGTATGTATAAAATTTTTTTCATTGCATCAACAATCATAATAAATAATAAAAAAAAACTTTCTTTTTTATACTTTAAAAAAACATTTCGTCTCATTAAGAGAGCTTCTGATATTAAATGCATGTATGATTTAATCTTAGTTTCACATATACCGTTTGCTACGCGTGAAATTCAACCAAGTATTTAATTTTTATCTTATGGAAATGTGATTTTCAAGTACCGTTATAATGCTGAAAAGCATAGGAAATCCAATATACCTGACAGAGGGAATTTCAGATAAATATATGTACGCGCACACCTAGAGCAGTGAAGAGAGGAAATCAAGCGTATGCGGACCATAGCGGAAAGTTTCGCAACAATAATTATCCGAGAGTTTCTGCAACTAGTGGGCAAAACGAACCGGTCGTGCTTAAACCGGAACGAACGTAGCTGCTTAATTACCCGGGGACCGCCGCCCACTTGTGTACAAACAAATTCGTTACGGTGCTGTGTGTCGGCTGCCACGTGGAAATGTGGACTCTGATGGTATATGCAGCGATGATCTACAAACGATGATCTACAAACGCTGGTGTTGTCACATCGTTGGGCTTTTTCCATACATGAAAGAATATTTTGTTTAAATTTGTTCATACAGAAAAATTGTTCATAATATCAAAACGTATTATTGGAAAAATTATAAAATATAATCAATGTATGGTGAATATCGAGCTTTTATGTTTATTCTCGAGAAAATATTTTAATGTTTTCCATTTAATTAAATTTTATTTCACATTTATGAGTATTTTCGATTCGTAATAAAATTTTCGTTTTTTATTCTTTATAATTTAATAAAATCATTATTAATAAAATTCTATCACATAGAAAATTACAATTCTGGATAGCATCGATACTACGATGTGAGAGATACATTCGCGTGCAGAAAACGAATCACCAAACATGTAAAAGCGAAAAGTGTATCTCGGTATGAAAATAATCTTGGAAATAAAGCTCGCTGCTCATCACATGTAATAATTAAAATTGCATTATCGAAAACGTGACTAACGATATTATCATAAGCACCACCGAATCCGCTATTATTTTTATGCGCTGCAGTGATTTAATCATCAGTCGTGGAAACTTTGATATATTTACCGATATATGACCGATATATGACTGATACATATCTCTACACAAATACTGAAACGTGTCACTTCGTTACATCTCGGTGGCGCGCATAGAAGTTAACAATTGTTACATATTTGGTATACAAATGGATTGTATTTCGTTAAAGTGGATCGACCGTTGTTGAAAATTAAATATAAAATTTCTCGCATAGATTTTTCGGGGAAAAAAAAATACCGAACGATTCGATTTGATTTTGACTCGTATACAATAAAAACGATCATCAGATATATCGATATGTATCTACCGCGCACCGTGTACACAATACAATTACGAGACGGACCAATATCATTTTAACGAGCACGTTGTTCTCCCATACGATTCTATCATACATGCGTCGAATGTATGTACGTGACGGCTCTTCATTATATATGGTTAACAAAATCCTCACTCTCTCAGAATAGTCATACATGTGGCGCACCCGGTATCGTCGAGCAAGGAAAAAAAAATACAAGTACCCAATCGATCGATGAATTCATCTCGCCAAATATATCGCGTCGACGAAACGAGGAGACGATTCGAGAGGATTTGAAATTAAACGCGAAAACATTCCTGTACGCGCACGCGCCCACGCACGCACGCACGCACGCACGCACAACAGTAGAGATCAATAGCACGCGCCAATTTATGCGCAAAATTCTCGCAAATTTAATGGCGTGCTCGGAAAAACCACGCTCGGTATTTTACATCCCGGATTTCACCGATTCGCCGCCGCCGGAAAAATTTAATTACCATTTACGATTTCAATTAAAGCGAGCGACAATGGGCGCGACGTTGATTAAGGTCGATATTAAAACCGGTACACTACGACGCACCATCGACGTTTCACTTGCACAATTTGATACAAACGTAACATAAATGTAAGCATAATGAGCTGATATTATGACTCGCTTTGATCCATGAGGTCAGCATTAATTTCATATTGATGATGAAGCATCCATGAAATCCGTACAGAAATGCATTTTTTTGCATTTTACAGCCAACTAAAATTGATCGTATCGCATAGAATTTACACACACATGCGTGTGTGTAATTTCTCATACTATTATTTAAAAACGCGGAGAGAATGATTCTACCGAAGTATTCACAAATATAACTAGGTACAGATCTAAAAATAATTTTGTTGGATCATCAACATTTTTAGATAGGGCACTCAAACTGATTGCTAGAATGTCAAAATTTTTTGACATTCTAGAAATTTTTATTTTTCTTACATATGCAACAGAATCAGTCGTTATTATGATAAATTAAACAATAATAAAAAAATAATTGTTACACCAAAATTTATGTGAATTTACAGTTATTATCAATAAACATGGGATAGATAAGCTATAGAAAAATAAACTCGATTAATTTAATGCCTTATATCAAAATTTTTCAAAAAAATTCATATTGTACGAAAAACACGCCCTTAATCTCTCTCTTCTCTATTTTTTGTATTTCAAATCGATTTCATTGAGTGAAATATGCGTGGATTATGCGTGGCTTATAATATACATATGTATATTATAATATGTATATTATAATTTGAAACTAACAATAAGATAGATGGGCTATTGAGCAATTAAATCTAACTGTTTATTTAAGAGATAAAATTTTCCGTAATTCAATTTCTTGATTTATTAAAAACATATTACAATTTCCCATTTTCGAATTAAAGACAAATTTTATTCTTCAAAAATTAAAATTTGATATTAGATTTTATAATCCGTGGAGCAATTAATCAATTTGTGGAGTCATTAATCCATGGAGTAATTAATCAACCATTCAAATTTTCATCAATAAAAAGAATTTAATAATTTGTACGTAGCACTAAAAATTAGTTATTAGTATAGTCAATATATCAATACCAGTTGCTTGTTGCAACTTAATATCTACGCACAAGAAATTGAAAGGTAAAATCAGCTGAGCAATAAAAATCAGTAGTTAATACTTTAACTACGAAATAAAAAAAACTATGCGTGCAAGCAAAATTACAGTACGTCCAAATTTATACGATTCCATTAAACGGGATTTTAAATCTCATTCCCTAAAGTATAAAGATAACTTATCAAACCTTTTAAATTTTTACTGCAATTTAACACTTAAATTTTATCTAAAGAAAGAACATCCAAATTTAGAACTGTAGAAAACAACATTGGTCGTTGTTACAAATATCCATGACACTCACATACACTCCAATCACACAAACGGGAATCGCGTCGATTCGTATGTAAAAGCGGGGCGTGGATTTCGAGCTATTAAGGTTTATTGCGCTCGGAATGCAGGACCCAATAAAAGCTAACACACGAGCCGCTGAATTTCAATATAACAACGTGACCGCGCCGTGTCGAAAGCGTACTCTCCCCCGCGTGTCCCTTCGCGCTCGAACGAACCAGCAATTAATTCCGAAACGCGATTTATTGGCTGCGGATCCCGTCGCGGCGTTCGATGAGTCATCACGACGCGACGATTCATTCAAAAGTCGCACCTCGTCGCGCGTGGGTGAACTCACACGCTGCAGTCGCGGTCATTGTGTCCGCTCTCGCATCGATCCGCACTTTTCTTCCGCTTGCAGATTGCGCAACAAGAGTGCATACGAGTGTGCCAACATGACGCCGATACCGATCGCAAATCTCCTACGCTCAGCTTCGAGCGAACGCTATAAAAGCAGTTTCATGAATGAGTAGAGACTGGTAACGTGTTATATTACCGTTCAGATGATATATAATGATTATAATCGTGAAGCAAAGGAAGTGATCGTTCACAGAAGAAAAGAAAAAAAATTGAGAAATTTTTAATTTAATCCTTTGCACTTCGAATTTTTTTTTCAAAAATATAATGCATATTTAAACTGGCAATTTAAAAATGTCGAGTGTGACTCGACACAAGAGCTCCTGTGAATAAAACTGATGTCGAATCACACTCGACATAGGAGTGCAAAGATAAAAATAGAACAAATAATTTTAATAAAGTATCTAAAAATTTATAATAAAGAATAAATAGAGAGATATCAGAAGTCAATGCAGAAAACAAGGCGCATTACCACTAATAAAATTTAATTTTTGACAATAATGTATGTATATAAATGATTACATACATAAATGTCAAAAATTAAATTTTATCAGTGATAAGACGTGTTTTTTTTCTGTATTAATTCCTCTGATAGCATCCACTTGTTCTTTATTGTTAATTTTCGAATTTCAGGAGTCCTTTGAAGTTAATCTAAAAATGTAGCTATAAATCTGAAAATAATTCTATCGGATTATCAAAATAATTACGTAAGAATTTCAAGCAATACCACAAAAAGTTTTAAAATTCTAACAACCAGTTCCAACAACCAGTTTGAGCGTGCTATATAATGTTTTGATGGTTCAACAAATTGATAAAGTATCTAAAATATCTGATAAAAAAAAGAGTGTCGATTCTTTTTAGATCCGTATCTAATTAAATTTTTAGATATCTCAGCAAAATCAGCTTTTTTTATTTAAATATAATTTTTTAAACTCAGATTAAATCGTGATTTCTAGCGAGCATATCAATATCGCGTAAAAGCAGATGAAAAGCATGGATGTTGAACGAGAGCAAAAAATATCAGTGTTTCGATCGAGAGATATCATTATGATCTCCACTCGCCTGTCGCATCGACTGTGAGTTAACCATCGCGGACGCGGGAAACGGAAATTACTTTCGTAATTCAGTTACCATCGGATTACAAATTATAGTTACAAATTGCGTTTGTAACTATAATTTGCGAGTGAATCAGTTATGAGTTACGATCCTGCCGTAGGGGTGCATTAAGCATAACGTCGGTCGTCGCACGAGAGCGTCGACTCGCGCATCAAGCGTGCTGTAACATCACAGCCTTTATTGAACGCTTTTGTTGGATGCGGCGCACGCGAATGGCGGTGCGGGATTTGAACAGAACCGTACGGGCTCGGTGTTACAAGCTCGATATTACGAATCGAATTCCACCCGACTTTCCAAAAGCCGGGAAAGAATAACGTCGATACTTGCGTTTTTACGAGCGGGCGTTTCGCTTTACTGCCTGCGCACGAACGATAACGAGATATTATCGTCTCACCATACACGCGCGCTCGTGCACGCGTGTTCACATGTCTTTTTAGAGCGATTCTTTAAAGAGGCGTTTCCGCGTGGCGCCTCCCTTCTAAAAGCGTTTATATTTCTTTCTCACCGGCTGCTTCTCATGCAAAATATTGACGCTCGTATAACGACATATAACTCCGCGGGGAGTTTCCCCGATAATCCTTATCCGGCGCGATGGCGCTCAACAGAAACTATATCATATAGCCCCCTTTTTTATTGCGCTCGTAAATCCGTTAAAACTCTTATTCGCCAACCGAATGCAGAAATAACGTGTCACTCCCGTTATGTTGGAAGAGCGCGAGAATACAACGCTGTATTTTACGATGGATATTCCACGCGGAAATGGAATCGTGCAGATAAGGCATACATTGGTATTAATCATATTTATCAAGATTTGATGGGAAATAATGTACATTATTTCCGTACACACAGTTGAATTCGGTCAATTGTAACTTTATTAAGATAAAAAAAAGTAGTTGTAGCATTTGTGTAATAATACACTCCGGTGACTATTCGCATCTATAAGATAATTACATAGCTAGTGAATATATTTAAAATCTTTGATGAATAATAATTCAATAGAAAATCGATATATTTTACGAATCATCATACACGGAGAGAATTTTCTTTTAAAATTTACCCTGAAAATATGGCAGTGTGTTGTGATACAAATATAATATTTTAAAGATTTTTACCATGCACTTCAGTAAAATTAATCAAACTTAATTTATACTTTATTGTAGTTTTATCAATGAATGAGAGAGATTTACATTAAAATTCTTCGAATGTTGACCCACGACTACCCAATGACTATCATATTTTCAGGGTAAATTTTTAATTAGCATGACATTTCGCGTATGCTTTGTTATTCTGTACATCAGTTTAACAAGAGATCAATATTTCCGTATATTGACCTCTTGTTACGGAAAGAACGATTTTGATAAGAAATATAAAAATTTTCGATAGATACAAATATGATAATAATTTCGTTAGATCATCAATTGGTCGTTAGAATGTCAAAACTTTTTTTTTGAAGAGCATTGTCATCATGCTTCAGCATCTTACATAATTATTTTGATGACTTGGCATAATTATTTTCAGATCTGTATCTAGCTAAATTTTTAAATATTTCAGTAAAATCGTTTTTTCCGTATAGCAATTATCAAAATTGTCGTTTCTTGTAGTATTCTCTCTCTAAGAAAAGGTGATTAATTCTGACCTTTCTAGCAGTTTCTTTTCCAAACCAAAAGAAAATCGACATACACACTAAAAAAAGAGCATTAAAATGTACATACAGCGGATCAAGTCTGAGAATTTGTTCAAAAACCTAAAGTTCCAACTAAAACCGGAAAGATGGTAATCGTGTACAGAAGATAAATTCCGGTTGAACATGACGATATTCTTTCTCGAACTACATTTGCGTCTAACGGACGTCATTATGCCAACCGGACAACTCGCCGGCGTGTATGCATTCGGCGCAGTGCGCATAATGTTGAATGCATACATTTATACGTAGCAACAGACTGCCCACGTGCTGCCTGACAATGCTTTAATTTGTCGTTCGTTCATGGTACACGCCCGCACTCTCGCACGTGCGGGGCACACCTACGGTCGGTTCTACCCGCTCGAACGTGTGCAATTCACTTGGCAAAATGGTATTTTCGAGGCAACGTACCGAGAATCGTCGAGACCGCTCCCCCTCTTTGCAAAATCGATCCCTTTCAACAATTATTGAGCGGCTTTCATACCAAAAAATAAAAAGGTGAGAAAAAAAGATGCTGGCGAATCGCTCGGTGAGAACAAATTTGCGAAAAACAATGAGAATTTATTTACAGAGAAAAGTTACGTTTAAATTAAAGAAATTGTTTCTTTCGTTGATTTTTTCAAGTTGAAATGAAAATACTTTTGAGGAAAATAAAAATTTACTTGATTTTTTTAGAAATAATGTTCAAATAAAAAAAAATTTATTTGATTTCAAGAAATGACGTTTAAATCAAAGAAACTTTTCTTTAACCGTATAGCAGTGTAACAAAGTTCTTTGATTCGAACAAATTTTTTTTAATCGAAAAAACTTTTCTTTGGGTGCATTCCATTGAGATCGACAAAGAGTTAATCTGCCGTTTCCATCCCTCTCGCGCGGTTGTTTCAATTGTGCTTGCATCCATTCTGTCCGCTGGAAGTTCGTTACGAGACTTATGAGAGAGTATCCATCTGTTGATGTGTACACCAGGAACTTCGAAACGGCAGACGCATTCGCGACAGCATGATTATCGGTATCAGGTGCAGCGAGCATTATGCGCATCCACGTATAATTAGTATAGAAACTGGCGTTTGCGATGCGTTCGTGCGTGAAGTCGGAGTCGACGAAGGAGTGAGAGAATGAGAGAAAGAGAGGGAGGACAGGAGAGGAGAGTGATACGTGCATTGGGAAACGATTTCGGTTACACCGACCCAGAGGAATCGACGACAGATACAGCGAGGTGATGAATTATTCTCGCAGGAACGTGGAATTGATTGCTTACAATGCCGCCGTACGTGACGCGATTCTGCGAATTCAACGATATACCGAAACGATATATATCGCCTAATCCCGAAAGCAATTCCGGTAATGTTGAAATGTACAAACGTGTGTACATTTCCATGTCCGTTTTTCATCGAATACATCACTTACTGTGTGACATAATCTAATATAATTATTCATTTGCGTACAAAGACGCCTCTTAAAAATGTAATTGAGAAGCCAAAAATCTAGCTTTTCATCAACATTTTATTTCAGCGTTGGTGAAAT